TAGGGCACATGCCCAGGTTGTGGGCTCCATCCCCAGTGGGGAGCATGTAGGAGGCAGCCAATCAATTCTCTCTTATCATTGATGTTTCTATCTCTCTCTCCCTCTCTGATATCAATAAAAAATATTTTTTTAAAAAAGAACAATCCACAGCCATTACTACAAACGAATACAACTGTTTTAACTTTACATCCCCCATGTCTGGGACACCAGACTAAATCACTTACCTCCTATCAAAGAGTTTGGATATTATTCAAGTAGAAAGATATCTCCCTCATGATGTCTGCCATTCAACTTCCATGTATTCACTCCCCCTCCCCCCAACCAAGAAGATTATGCAGAGTTTAAATTTTTGTAGCCTGCATTATGAAAACCACAGGTTTATGGAATGTGAATTTCCACATTACTAGCCTGTCCACCTTGAAATATTCCTGAACTATGGGGAGTCATTACAGACTTTAAGCAGGGGCGTGACATCTGTCACCAGTGCTCTGGTGAGGATTGGAAGAGGGCGTGGCTGGACGTGGAAAGGTACGTTAGGAGGTGAGAGCAGTCACACAACTTACAGATCATGATAGCTTAAGATAGGCATGTGCAGAACAACGGATCACATAGATATTTAGAAATCAGGATTAACAGGAGGTCATGACTAATTGAATGTTGTGGCTGAGAAGGAAAAATAAATCAAAGATAACACCTACATTTCTGATTTCAGAAACTGGGTGGATGTTGATGCCATTAACTAAAAGGATGAAAATGAGCATGCTTTGGGGATGGGAAAAAGACGATGTATTCAGATTAGTGCATTTTGCACTTGCTAATGGGTTGTGCATCTATGTATAAGTTGGAGGTGAGATAGCTGTTTAGACTTATCATAGGCATCTTTTTAAAAAAATACATTTTTATTGATTTCAGAGAGGGTGAGAGAGAGAGAGAGAGAGAGAAACATCAATGAGAGAGAATAATCGATTGGCTGCTTTCTGCACAGCCCACCCTGGGGATCGAACATACAACTCAGGCATGTGCCCTGACTGGGAATCGAACTGTCACCTCCTGGTTCATATGTTGATGCTCAACCACTGAGCCATGCTGGCTGAGGTCATAGGCATCTTTAAGATGGTCCCAATCCCATCTTCTGATATTCAGTCTTTCTGTAATACTCTCTCCTTGACTAATTTGCTTCTGCCAATAGAATATGGGATCATTGAGGATATATCTCTTCCAGGGTTAGGTTATAAGGATTGTGAATTCTATTTTACTAGTACACTCTCTCTATTGCTTTCACAGCTTGCACACTTAGATGAAGCAAACTGTCACATTGGAGAGGCCATATGATAAGGCACTGAGGGTGGCCTCTGGCCAACAGTGAGCAGGAAACTTCAATCCAAGAACCTGCAAGGAACTGAATACTGCCTGCAATCTGTGAGTGACCTTCCCCCGTTGAGCCTTCAGATAAGACTGCAGATCATGGGTGGGTACCTTGATTCATGCATACTTTGAGAGGTCACGCAGCAAAGAATCCTGTGAAATTGTGCTCAGATTCCTGGCCTACAGCAATTGAAAGATAATAAGTGTGTGGTTTAAGCCATTAAGTTTTGGAGTAATTTGTAATGTCACAATAGATAACTTATTTGTGAACTCTGGAGATGAAGGCTAGATTTGGGATTTACCAGAACACAGACAATATATACTGACTGTGAAAAGGTTCAACCGAAACAGTGTGTAGAAATGGAGGAAGGGGAATTGGTAATGAAGCTAGAAGAACAGAAAAATTAAGAAGTGGGTGTAGTACCAGGAACCTGAAAAGAACTATAAAGAAATAGAGATCTGAAAAGATCTCTTCAGGGAGGCATGACCAAACATCAAATGGCGAGATGACTGGAAACTGCTTTTAGCAACAAGGTGAACTTTGCTTACCTTCATGTGAACAATTTCAAAGAAGTGATTTGGCGCAGGGAGATTTCAATAGATTGGGACAAAACACAAAGCTGGAAGGTAAAGGAAACTTCTTTGAAGAAGCTTGGCTGTTGAGAGAAGGCAAAAGGTAACGTGATATTTGCAGGAAAATGAAAAGTTGGTGGCTTTTTATGACAGAACAGAGACTGGAGCATATTTGTGTGATGAGGGCTTCTTGGTTATGCAAATTTTGATTACATTTTCTGTTATTTATAAAAGAGCTGTTATAAGAAAAACAACAGAAGAAATAACTTGCGTGGCTATTCATAGTTCTCCTGCCCTATTGAAGGTGCCTACATGTCCATTTGCTTATTACATAACAAAACATGGCATCCATTTTCTACATAACATAAACATTTCTGAATGTGGTTATATTGGCAGCATAATTATTTTTAATATTGTATAATATATTGTCAAGTTTGTGTACCATAAATAATCTGTTTCTATTTGTTGGACTTCTAGGTTGTTTCCAACTTTTTATAACTGGAAATAATGCTTTGATTAATTGCAGATTTGTTCCAAAACAAAAACAGAAGGCTCCCCCTAAGAGATGTTTTTTGGATGTTTGCCCACGATAGCACTCTTCGTCCTAAAGGGCTCTGAGCTGAAGTCCCTGAAAATGCATGCAAAAACTACAGGGCCTCTTTCTTTGTTATTCTTTTATTATTCCAAATTTCAAAAGCCCAACAGGTGGGCCACTCAAATATACAGAAAGAGATCGCTGAGTGGCCAGGTCGACTTTAAACTTTCTGTGAACCTGAATGTATGTGTTCTGTGTTGCTTTCTACCAGCATGCTGAGGTCCATGAAATACAACAGAGAAGGCCTCAATCATCTTTCTTCTTTTGTTTATTTATACTGTTATATTGGAAGGAAGGTAGCTATCTTTAATACCTTCCTTGCCTTTGCACATCAAGTAAAATAATCCACTCTCCCTGGGAGGGCCCAGTGCCTTGCCAGAAACTATCTTCCCTTTGAGCTTATAGCAATTGTTGCAAATCTGCTAAACATCATTAGCCAAATCCTTCCTAAGAATCCTATCACATTTCTGGTGAGATGCTTGTTGGAAGTAGCTTTTACTGTGTTTGCAGCAGTCAGCTGAAATGCAACGTTTAAAATAGAGTATGTCATCATCCCTCTCTCACGGTTCCCCTCCTGACTCAACCTCTCTCTCTGAGGCCACCCTTCTTTTATTCATCCTGATTTAAATGATGAAGGCATCTTATTACTTCTCAGCAACTGTGCAGAGTATGATAGTTACCTACAAAAACACAGGGACAACAAAATGGACCAGGTCTTTAAAAATCAACCACTGGGGAAGACACAGGAAGGACATTTCCGAGTAGTGAAGAGCTGTGGTTCTAGAACAAAGGGACCTACCTGGGTTCAAATCTCCAGTAAACGGATGAGCTCTGTGATTTGGGGCAAGTTACTTAAGTGCTCTGATTCCTTAGCTGTAAGACAGGATCTTTACAAGGAACGGAAGGAGGCTCACCACACCACCTGGCTTAAAGTAAGACCTTGACAAATCTGCAACTATTATTATTATCAATAAAAACAGAACTGGGTGCAAAATTAAATAACGTGGCAGTTAGAGACCCTCTGGGTGAAACTGCTGCAGTGGGCAGTCCAGGTCAGGAGGCAGCAGGAGGTTCAAGCAGGGAGAAGTCATGGTGTTGCTCCTGTGGACGGCTGGAGCACAGTGATGGGAGCCCGGGGGCTGCACAAAATGAACGGTCCTGTGGGCAGGCAGTGGGCATCAGAATTCTCTCCGTTGGTGGAAGGACTAGTCACCAGGCAGAATTTTACTGGTCCGATTCCTACTCTATTGACGGCGACAGTAGGAGTGAGATCAGATTCCAACCCACAGAAACCAAGACAAGGGGCTCTGAGAGCCACTAAGACTCAGAGAACAAATGTGGAGCTGTTTCCAACAGGGTCTGACTAGGCCTGGGATTGTGCCTGGACGCTGAGCTATCTACCTGGAAGAGGCTCCCTCTGTCCCACCTGCCAACACTTTCCAAGGGCTTCCCCAGCCTGTAGCTGAAAGCACACAGGGAAAATATCTGCACTGTGGAATAGCTAATTGGCTGGGGGGAAAGGTGCCATGCACACAAGAGTACACTTGACTGTGCTGGGGCTTGTCAATCTCCAAGACCATGCTGAGCTTTTATGGGAGGTTAAATAAGATGAGCATATGCATTTTTCCTGGGAAAGAAGCCATAGTTTTTATCCATCTCAAAAGGGTCCATGGTCCATGACCTCACAAGAGAGGATTAATGCTTTACACACGTGTTCTTTTTAAGCAAAAATCCTGCAACCGACCTCATTTCTTTTCATCCTTATCTTGACCAAATGCGTTTATCTTCTGACAGGGTTTTCTCACACACATGGGCTTCCAATCATTCTATCTTCTGATTTGCTCCTCTCCTCCTTTGTTAAATTCAACCAGTATCAGGCCCTAGCCAGTTTGACTAAGTGGATAGAGCATCAGCCTGCAGACCGAAGGGTCCCGGGTTTGATTTTGGTCAAGGGCATGTACCTCAGTTGCAGGCTTCTCCTTGGTCCAAGCCCTGGTCAGGGCTCATGCAGGAGACAACCAATTGATGTGTTTCTCTCACACTGTTTCTCTCTGTCTCTCTCTCTAAAAATCAATGGGAAAATATCCTCAGGTGAGGATTAAAAAAAAAAAAAAATCAACCAATATCTGATCCACTAAATGAGCCCAATTCTTACAATTAATTATGACTGTATTTTTATACATTTACTTTTAGATATTTAAAAAAGCCTATCAGTGGGTTCCTATTGGTCAGGGGCTACTCAGAAAGGGCTCAATCTGTCATCTTGAAATGAGGGGCATTGCCCCTCTCTGCTGTCGTGACTTCAGTTTTTACCCACTCCCTCACCCTCCATGTCTTACTTTTCCTCTTGATCCTTCACAGCTCAGCTCAAGTTCTGTCTACTCTCTGGAAGCTTCTGGGACAGCTTCAGTCCTCAGAATTACCTCCCTCTTCCAAAGTCTGTAACCGTCGCTTAGTGCCAGGGAAAATAAGTGTGAGAGCATTCGCATGTTGTCTGGCAGACTTTCCCATCCCGACACCTGGGCTAGGCAATTCTTCATTTTGGAGTGTGTCTTCTCCCCCAGTGTGACAACCCAAATGTCTACACACATTGTCAAACGTCCGAGGAACAAAATCACCTCTGGTTGTGTAGCACTGTTCAAACATAATTCCACCACATATCAGCTAGTATGATGCACGCTTTCTGAACAAACTGTGTTCAGTCATAGCCTACTTTTCTACCTTCATCTTCCTTACTTCAGTTCATTTTTTAACTTACTTTGTACTGCATTTTTACCTTTGGAAAACACTTTGAACTTCAAACACACACACAGAGGGGTAATACATAAACACTCATTGCTTCTTTTAAACCTTGTCACAACCCTTGATAGTACTAGCATCACCTTTTAACAGGCGAAGACACTGAAGACTAGACATTGCTGTTCAGTAATTGGACTCAGGTCCAAATAACAAACATTGGAAAAGCAAAGTCGCAGCATCGGGACTGATTCCAAAGTCCAGTACAATTTGATGGCACAAGGCTATTCTGTTTACTTTCCATTGACTCATCCTGTTGCACAACTGGATCTTAGGCTGCTGTCTACTAGCTCTTGGGAATACTGTGCATTTGTTATGACGGCACAGGAGTAATTATCAGAAGGACAAACTGGCTTTTCTCTTCACTCCCACAAAAGAGAGAATGTGGGTACAAAAATCTGATACTAGCAGCATTCACTTCCTATCATTGATCTTACACTACACTGAACCTATTCAATACCTTTGAAAGTTAAGAAAATATAGTACAGGGAAAAAATGAATTATCTCAATGATTCCTTTAATGTGCCACCTTACCTTCCTGGCATTTCCCGCATTTCCTCAGGGAAAGGCTATTTTTCCAACTCATTTCTGTTCAATTGATTGCTAGGATTTTTCCCTCTTTAGACCGTTTGGATTAGAGGAAGGAACAAGTCGGCTTTTTCTATAGAACTAAATTTCAAAAAACAAATTGCCTTTTAGGAAAGTTGAAAATCAGCATCACAGTCACAAGATCAGAAAAGGAGAGGTTAAATTTTCCACTGCTGCTAACTCTTAAAAGCACTTGAAGAAAATGGATCTCAATAAATGGACTTCTGAGAGGAAAAAGGAAGAGACAACAAAGGCATGTGTTGCATTTTCTGTCCAAAGGCTAGTTCACCTCCTGCAATTTTCGTGTCGCATGGCCAGGGCTGCTGAGGTTTCAATTATCTTACAGCCCAGGCAATTTCAGGCAAATTTACAGTTTCACTCGGAACTACAGTTCAACAAGGTCAATATTTTACAGCTAATGAAACTACGGTCCAATGGCTAATGTCAAGTCCATCCACTTCCCTCAGAACAGAAGAATTTGACTTATCTAAAGCTCTCCTGTCTTGGTCAGGAAGCTTCTATCCAAAAATACTTACTACAATTAAGAAATATACATATTAGCATCACTATATTTAGAAGAAAACTGTTAAAGCTTCCAAACCACAAGGATTAGAGCTTACAGCATTTTCCCCCAAGAGACCAGAAATGGATTGGAGAGTTGGGAAAGATCTTAGAAATGATTTTAACAGAGCAAGATGAAGTCATTAGTTTCACAGTTAGAGTTTCTGTTTTTCTTAATTAGAAGGCAGTGGGTACAGTAGAAAGTTCTAGACACACTGGGGCCCAGATTTATCTAGACACACTGGGTCTTTGGAATCAAGTCCCAATGCTGCGACTTTGCTTCTCTAGACACACTGGAACCCCAGACATGTTATCTCACCTGCAAAACCCATTTTTATTTTAAGGACAGAGGTGGACTAGATGACCTTTGGCACTGTCCTGTGAATCTGTTATGCTTACCTTATCCTAATAGAAAAATTCCAAATAGGAAAATCCAGCAGTTGCCACCTTAGATTAGCCTTACTCCTTTTTGATTCAGTTAGTGACCTTCCTCTCAACTGGGGTCTGACTTTCAGCTGTGCTGTAGCATCTGCCCTTGATCAGCTCACACTTGTTCTCTCCACAGGGGCAGCGGCAGCGGTGTGGTGGGGAAGTGAAACCTCTACACCAGATCAGAACTATCTAATTTGTACTTTCTGAAATATTTTTTCTGTGGGATTCTTTGCACCGGTGTCCCTCTCTTGGTTTTTCTCTCTCCCCCTAGTAGGGTAGACTTTGTTCATTAGCAGAATTACATCTTAGCTGCTTCCTATAGCAAATGATTACTTGGGTTCAGAAAAAAGCGGACTTATTATGTTCCAAACACTGTTCTGCATCCTTTGCATATCTGAAGGCATTTAATCCTCAGAGAGCTCTGTGAAGTACATGTGTATCCCTTCCTATCCAAATCTATTCCCTTCCTGAATTCAGTGGTGAGAGGTCAGAGTTCCTTGAGCATGGAAGGCTAGGAAGATTTCATTATCTGAATTTAGTTTAGTTCGCCCACTTGGGATGGTGAACAGCCTGATCTTAAATAAGGCAAATGAGATCACCTGAAGGCACAAATCCATTTGATTCCTTTGTTGCAACAGCAAGGGTTTAGGTAGGAAGAGGTAAATGGGAGATCTATTCCATTATCTCCATTAACAAATGGGGACAACGAAGCACAGGTAGTTTAAGGAAACTGCCCAAGGTTTCATGGTGGTTCGGGGGCAGTCAGTGTCACAGCTGAGCTAGATGCCCGATTAAACTTAGCTTCTCTTTGTGGTCAGTGGCGTCACCCATGCATGCTTTCACTGTAGCGTTTCTGGGAATGTCTTGGGGGAGCTTAGCCAGAATTGCCATGCCGTTTTTTCCATAGTTACATTTGTCAGCCGACTTTGATTACTTATGTGCTATTAACGCCAACAAGAACACATTTTAGAATGAAACTTGGTGCTATTTGTACAGTTTAACAGTTTAATCACAAGGCTGGAGGGACCACAATGTTTCATTTAGCCACTGTCTTTAATTCTTCCACTGCTGCTGAAATAAGTGATCTTTTCTGTCTTATAGACACATGAGAAGCAGACTCCACGCAGATAAATGCAGGTGGAAGTGCAGTGTAACTTGAGTTCTCATTGTGGGCAATCCTTGCCATCTCTGAAGACTTAGGGCCTCTTCAAACCCCTGCTTGTCTTCAACTCATCGTGCTGTGAGAGCTGCTTCCCACTGCCAGTTAGGTTCACACCTATGTTTAGTTTTTCAGTATTTTCTCAAGTACTTAATACATGACACCAGCAATGATTTTCCTGCGGGGCTGTCAGGGCCCTCAGAAAATTGTGTAAAACCATGGGCACGCTGCATCTTCATGACTTGCTCTCTTATGCGTCCGCTAACTGCTGTCCAATAGAAACCCAGAGGATAAGCTCATGTGTACTTGTTAACAAAGCCATATCTGTTAAGCTGAGAGGTAGTATCTATATCAATTTCAGTGAGAAATAAATGCATCCTTGATTTCATATTCTTTTTTTACTTTCACATAGCGATAAGGCTAGGCATAAAGTAGGACTAAAATTACATTGAATCAGTAACAGTAACAGAGGAAATACTAGTCATTGGAGTCCTCCTGGAAGTTGTGTCACCATGTGGTGAAAAGGTCGAAGGTATGTCTCCGTGTTCCAAGAAGCACAAGAAGCCACACCTTAAACACTCGGTAAATTCCTGGAAGGCCACTTCAGTTCCAGGAGAATAAAAGTGTCATTGTAGTGAATCAATAGTCATGCGAAGAGTACACGAGGTTTCAGACAAAACTCTGAGACTTAACATGTCAAGGTGAAATTTCCAAGTATACACCTCGTATCCCTGAGGATTTTGGATATTCTGGAGCAAAGTTCAGTGTCCAGTTGCTCAAGGAGAACAGGCCTTAGATCTGGGTGCTATTCATGCATCACTCACTTACCACCTGTGTGACCTTAGGTGAGTTACTTGAACTTTTTCTAAGCCTTAGTCTCTTTTTCTGTGCAGAGGTTTGATGGCATGATCTCTATGTACGGTCTCTTCCAAAAGACTTGTGGTTCTCATGTATGTTTTAGAGCTCTGGCTGCCTAATTTTGCCTAATCAATCATTTCTAATAGATGACACCTGTTTACTCGGCATAGTGGTTTCATATCACTGTGAAATATATCTTAGAGACCCAAAGATCTGTCCAAATCTAAACTTCTACTATTCTACTAATTAAGCTAATACTGCTCACCCAATGAAGGCTAACCAATACCTCCAAATTCAAGATAGACCATAAGAAAATGTAACCAAAATTAACATTTTGAGCAAAACTCCTTTTTTTTGTTTGTTTTTTGCTATGACTTTTGGCTCATCAATATACAGGGGATGATTTTAGCACTCACTAGCCATTATTTGAACATATTCCCTATCATAAAGTTTCATAAATTTTTGTTTTTAATTAAAATACCCTCAAATGCTTTTCCTTCTTAAAGTACTTATATAGGTGACACAATAAATCTGAA